TATTGCAAACGAAGTATTGCCCATGTTAACAAGGTGTGTTTGTGAAGCACTATGCCCCCGATGGTAACACAATTCTAGAGTGGGAGGTAGACTGACCCTTGACAGGGCAATATTTATGGGCATGGTTGAAGTCGACAACACACAGACAGACAGACAAGACAAAAACAATATACCCTCTGGATCTTTCAATCCTGGAACATACATGTAAATAACTAGCGTAACACAGTAAAATGCGACAATTACACGGTCAAAAACACGTTTAGTTCTAAGACAGCACCGTTGTCAGAAACCTTTAAAGTTCAGCACTGAAAATGGCACGTTGTCATGTACATACAGGTAAGGATATGACAACATCCGTCCGGTGTCACAATTTCAGAAGACACATTTTTTTCATTTTTCAAGTTCAATCATTTATAACAGCATTGGCGTCGGAAGCAAATCGAAAATGGGGGGGGGGGTTAACTGTGAGAAAAAAAATTTCAAACCTAAAAAAAAAACTTGACAAGCAAAAAAAAAAGGGGGGGGGGAGGGAAATTGTCCAGACACGAAACGGCAGGGGGGGGGGGATGGAATAGGATGGAACATTTTTCAATACCAGAATTTTTCCAAACACTACCAATTACCTTTTTCGACCTAAACTTCAACGTGCCTGTTGAAAGCTGGGGGGGGGGGTAAACGTAGGCCCCAGTGTTCAATGTCTACGTAATGTCTATGTCTGCAAAAAAAGTTGAGGGGGCGGGGGCTAAGCCCCCCCCCCGGTTCCGACGCCTATGAACAGTGTCTAAAATTGTAACGGGGAACAGGGGTTGACACTCTTTTCGGTGTTGTATGAATTTCAGTTGTTAAAATCACGTAATACAAGAGGAGTTTGCGTTCGCGAAATTAAACCCTGTTGTAAACACTTGTGGATTTGATTCATTTTTCTTCTGAGATATTACATTTTTCTTTAATAGACTATAATATACATATCATTTGGGTCAGACAGTTTCAAGACATGTTATTTAGCCTTAATAAAAAACATGAGAACAAATTAAAACTGAAAATTTTAATGAATATTTCAATTTCTGTCCGTTGGCATGACACGATACGAAAATTCAGTCCTGTGTTGTCGCTACTGTACTGTATACACTATGAAAAAGAATGACCTAATGTTGTTTTAGGTACATGTATTGCTAAATTTCAAGCCATCAAAAAAGAGGGAAAAAGGATTGAGGAAGGGGAAGCCAAAAGCCATAATAAAGTAAAGGTATGTTATCATTATTTATATTTCATCAAATATATGGAGATAACAAACAGTATTCAAGATCAAAAGTCCATAAAACAATACAAAATAGGAACAGAGCAAACTCGGACCTCCAAAACATCAGAGGTGGGATCAGGTGTCAAGGAGGAGTGAGTTTGGGATTTGCTAGACAAACAAAGAGACTTTTCCTGATTTTTCCCCCGGAAAAAACTATTTTCAAAGTGAAGGAATTTGAAGAGGAGGAAGCATTCAATGAATACGATACGATCATTAAAAGACACGGAACTCGGTGACTTGATGAAATCGACAATTGCTTAAGAACAAATTGTTGCATAAAATGTGAAATTTTAAATACTATAATTTTAATATAAATATATATTTTAGCAAAATAATGATGATAGAGTCGAAAATTCGGCCAGCAAATTAAGATAGTTTTGCAGCAACATCGGAGACCTCTATTAGTGAAAGTCAAGTGTGTATTAATTTTTTTTTTGAGATACGAGTCTATAAATCCTTACTCAGATAAAAATAAAGTTAGCTTGATTAATCAATAATTTTACATAAAAAACATAGCTAGTTATATGTGCCTGTTGATATTTACGTTATATTTTTTTATCGTTAGGTGGAAAATGAGAGACACCCAACAAAAACTTTGTTACAAGATTAAGAGGAACGTTTGATGGGATCTGAAAACCAACCGTTCTTTGAAAGATTCCCAGTATGTAACATTTTCTTCAGAATCCAGTTTTGAAAAATGAACTTAATTTTTCTTGAAAGACATCTTTCATGATTATCAGATTTTGTTCCATTTGAGGAATTACTGTTTAAATGTTAATTTATTCAAACAATAAGAAAAAAGAGCAAAATTTGATAAATGGTAAAATAAGATGCACTTGGGCCTTTTTGCTCACCTAAATAACCCTTGTTAAGAATATGATTCTTTTACCCTTCTCTCTCCAAAATATTGAAAGCCGTTTTAAGGACCCAGCGAACTCATATAAATTTAGGGATTATTAGTATTTATTACTTAGTAAATCTGAATGCACACTGGTTTAGGATGCTAAAGTTACCATACTAAGTATGACAAAAACAGTCGTGTTTTGGACGGGTGGTTTGTATTGACAAAATATACATTTCCAGTTGAGTAATTTTTATACGGATGTAGTCCGGAATATCTGACGTTTTCCAGGCTTTGTTCGCAGTTTTGATATTTTACGTGCCAGGAAAACGTCAGAACCGGCGCCATTATGAAACCCGGGGAATCGCTGCCTCCAACCGCAGGCGGCATTCTCGAGTTGATTTTAGATACTTGCAAACCGAATTAAATTTCAAAGTCACAAGTTATGAATAGTACAATACTTTGAGTACTTACCAAAACCGTTTCTATGGTTCATTTATAAAGTATACAATTCGTTGAAAACATTTTATCAGAATGATTAGATGTGTTAACATTTCGTGCATTTTAAAATCTTGCAAGTCCTGAAACGAAATGTGGAATATTTTCTTTTCATTAATATGGTGAGTACTATAGGCATTGTGCTTCCGATAAATAAAAGTAAAATATCAAAATCGTCAAAAAAAAAGCCTAGACAACGTCAGGTACTGTAAACTAACTTAAATTCGCGTAAGAGAAATTTTCGCCAGGTTCGCGAGAGCATCGTCATCGCATATTTCTCGCCGCGAACCGGTCCTGAAAGTCTCTGTTGTATTAAGAGTCAGTCCGCGAGAAAACCATGCAAAACTGTCCAAATCGAAGGTTGTCATAAATTAATGAAATTTGGTGGGTAGTTAGACTTGGCAATATGTTATTCAAAAATGACCAAAAAAATTCCCATCATTCAACATGGCAGCCGTTGGCAGCGCCACCTCCTTTTTGCACATTTAAGTGCAAATGCACTTAAAAAATTCAAGAAAAATGGTAAAATTCACATTTGATTTATTTTACTCAAAATTAAACTTGCATTTCCATTAAGGTATTTTTAAGTAACATAAGACTATGTTCTTTCAAAATTGACATTTATCATAATCAAATATGCAATATATCAAAGGGCAGACAACTCTTGAAAATTGGCATGATGCCAATTTTCAAGAATTGCCAAAAGTATTACAATTTTAATGCCCCAAATCTTCCAAGACCAATCTTTGAAATTATTTTTTTTTTATTTTATTGTACAGATATAACTCTAAACATAATCTTTGCAAAATATTGAGCTTGGGAGATAATAAATAATTTAGATATGGGAATTCACATATCACCAATTTAATAAAAAAAAACATTAAAAAAATTATATTTCGTACAATCTATACAGCAAAAGATAGAACTTTAAATTATCAAAATATACTAGTTGATAAACATATGACTTTCCCATAAAATACTTTTGTAATTTTTTTGAAATTGGTTTAAAAAACTGTTTAAATAGGGTGATTTTGCATATTGCCAATTTGAGAAAAACCATGTCTTCCTCATTAATAATGCTGACTTACATTTTTTTCGTATACATGTTGAATGACAATATTTCTTTTTTTTTATATTATCAAAATTATTCTTTAAAAATTGAAATATAATAAATTGTAGTTACTTTTTTTTAATCTTGTGGCACTCTGACAACTAATGATACATGTATTACCTAAAGAGACAAGCTGAATTTTAACAAGAGGCCCAGGGGCCACAGCGCTCACCTGAGCACATCGGGCTTGAATTTACCCCCCCCCCCCTCCAGGCGTTCATCATTTGAACAAACTAGAATCTACACTACCTGAGAATGATTCCATATAAATATCACTAATCATAGCTTTGAAGTACTTGAAAAGAAGATTTTAAAAGGTTTCCCTATATATCCCTATGTAAAACTTGGGTCGGTCATTTTGACCCCACCCTAGTCCCGGGGGTCATGATTTGAACAAACTTGAATCTACACTACCTGAGGATGATTCCACATTAGTTTCATCTTTCCTGGCCCAGTGGTTCTGGAGAAAAAGATTTTTTAAGATATTTCCTATATATTCCTATGTAAACCTTTGATCGGCCATTGTAATCCCACCCTTGCTCCGGGGGTCATGATTTGAATAAACTTGAATCTACACTACCTGAGGATGATTCCACATGAGTTTCATCTTTCCTGGCCCAATGGTTCTGGAGAAAAAGATTTTTAAAGATATTTCCTATATATTCCTATGTAAAACTTGGGTCAGCCATTTTGGCCCCACCCTTGCCCCGGGGGTCATGATTTGAACAAACTTGAATCTACACTACCTGAGGATGATTCCACATGAGTTTCATCTTTCCTGTCCAAGTGGTTCTTGAGAAGAAGATTTTTAAAGATTTTTCTTATATATTCCTATGTAAAACTTGGGTCGGCCATTTTGGCCCCACCCTTGCCCCGGGGGTCATGATTTGAACAAACTTGAATCTACACTACCTGAGGATGCTTCCACATGAGTTTCATCTTTCCTGGCCCAGTGGTTCTGGAGAAGAAGATTTTTTAAAAATGCAATTAATTTTTAACAAATTCATGATTATCTCCCCTTGGAAAAGGGCGTGGCCCTTCATTTGAACAAACTTGAATCCCCTTCACCCAAGGATACTTTGTGCCAAGTTTGGTTGAAATTGGCCCAGTGGTTCTTGAGAAGAAGATGAAAATGTGAAAAGTTTACGACGACGACGACAACGACGACGACGACAACGACAACGACAGACGACGGACAAATTTTGATCAGAAAAGCTCACTTGAGCCTTCGGCTCAGGTGAGCTAAAAAAGGCTCTATGAGGAACTTTTGATTGGCAATATTATATCAGTCATACAAAGAGTTCAGTTGAGATATAGGAAGTTACATAATGTTATTCAAAGAAAATAAAAAAAAATTCAGAGAGTAATTTTAAAATTTTCCAACACTTATCAATCAGTGAATGCATACACAAATTATCTCAACTCTAATTTTATATATTCTAAGTGTGTCTTAAAACAATGTGCCAACACTTTCAAATTTTATATGAAAACATTTACAAATAATTTTTTTCAATTCTTTAGCTACTTTCAAATTCACAAATACATGTATATAGAATTTCATTCAGTGTACAACTACAGAAAATATTTCATTATACTTGCTTATTAATCTGAAACACATACACCCTCCCTCACTCCCTTTCACACACACACTTACACACTAGTTCACATGTAATGTTGTACAAAAATGTAAGCATTTTTCTAATCTACAGAGGATCTTGATCTTAGCCATGGTATATTTATTGATAGAAAGATAATATATATAAAAAACCCATAGATTGTTTTTATATACTCAACAAAAAAAGAAACGCATATTATTCAGGTTAACATATAAATCTAAGTTTTCAGTTTAAACCTTCTTTTTTTAAATTGATTTTAGAGTGTGTTGCTATAAAAATCAAATTGTCATAAACATGATTAATCAACACTTGGGTTTTAAAACTCCACCTTATCCTTTAAATAGATCACAGGTATGGAATGATAAAAAAGGTAGTCGTTCCATATACTTTTTCAAAATTTCTTTGATGAGTAAAACAATATGCGTTTTTTTCTTTGTTGGGTATATTTTGACCGTTCAAGCTTGCTGCATACATTCATTAAATGTATGAAAAACAACATTAACCTAAAAGTTCATTCAAGTTGATCCACGATTTCCTTTAATAAATCCTATATATTTGCATGAACATCAGCATTTTCAATGTCTTCCAAAGCATTTTCCAAATCCTCATCTTTCATGATATTGGGATCAAGTTTGATACGTGAACTTTCTAACGGTTTTGATCTTAATTTTACAAAATTAAGAGGCTCTTGATTTGTGATGAACTTAACCACTCCTCTCTGTTGAAATGCTTCAATCCATTATCATTCCTCAGATATTTGAGGTTAGCAGAGATCTTGTCAAAGTTGGGTCTTCTCCCTGTTCTTTCAAAGTCAAGGTACATGCTGTAGAGGAATTCTTTGACTTTGGCACTGAATCTCTTTTGAGCCTTTGCTGTTTTAAGGGCCCATCCTTCTGGTATGTTTTCGGCAACACCCAAAGTACCCTTGACCAAGACCTTGAAGTTCTTTTCCACTGCAATACATTTTTCAGCCCACAAATGCTTCACCTTATCAAGAGTATTTTCTGTGTTGCAGTACAGATGGTTGCCTACACATATATGGCACTCCAACAAACATTGCTTCCTATAAACTTTCATGCATCCTTGCTCAGGACAGGCAAATAATCCTGACTTTGTGCCATCTATCTCCTCTTCCTTATTTATCTCTTCATCAGCTTCTGTTTTGTCCTGCTCATGTTTTACAGATCCTGGAATATAGCTATCTGTTCTATGAAATTGAGTGTGTACCTATTAAAAAAAACAAAACATTTTTTTTCAATTAAAATTAAACTTTCATAATAAAATAAATAAATTCTTCAGATTTTCATCATAACAACATCATATCCTACGACAGCAACTATTTTCCCGCCTGTGCCAAAAGGGAAATAGCTGCAGTCTCGGAGGACAATAATCATAGCCAATAAATACATTTTACAACAATTGTGGTGTGCAATAAAATATATCAATGTGTTATTTATTCTATTTATTCTATTTAAATAGAATACTTATATTTTTTGTGACTGTTAGATTTGCAACTTGGCATTATTTTCTTGTATATACATACCTCAAAGCCAAGAATTTGTTCATTATCTTTGAAATGGGAACTTGGTAAAAAATAACCCCTTCCGATTCCATATGCCTTCCTAAATGTGACCCCATCAGGATGAAATGATATGTTGTTCATCAGGCTTATATTTGGAATTTTCGTTTTCATCCTCATCTCCTGGCTCTGATCAATGGACACCACTGAAGTAACAACACCCTTTACTCCTCCATTAGAATTCAAGGCGATTACCATATCATCTGGCGTTAAAACATCATGCCCTTCACCTGAAAATCTACATGAAAAATAGACATTGTACATGTGAGTGAAACTGTCTTTAGGAAAATTTCATTACATCTGCTATACTTAAATTTCATCAGTATAAATGATGTTCAATCAATTTGCTCACGATATTCTCACGTATAAACGTCTTCAGTGTTTTTTTGCAAATTATCACGTTGGCAAATTGTTTGATAACATCAGAAAACAAAAAAGTAAAGTTATTCCTTCATTAAAAATCATTTTCACAATAAATGAAATCATGAGAGCCATAGATTAAAGTACTTTTCCATTGTTTAAATTCTTAATTTGTAATTATAAAACTTCCAAATTAAATTTACCTCAGTATGTGCATCTTGCAATGGGCTGTCTTGGCATCACATATGTCCTTCCCAGACTGTGGCTCACTAAAATTGTATTCTAAGATCTTGATCCTAGAAAGCTGGTTCAAATGTTGCAAGTAAGACACCAAACTCGAACAGTGATAGCACCCTGCATTGTCACTCTTCAAAATAATCTCACTCACATTGGGAGCAAAACTTGGCATCTGATTCAACAGGTCAGTGATAATGTGTGCCACAGAAAACCACCCTTGGTTTCCCAGTTGTAAGATGTGAACAAAAGTATTGACAGCTAAGTGGTTTTCCTGGTCGATAGCTGGATAGGCAGCACGAGTAATGACAGATGAAAGATGCCAGCTTATACCTTTTTTCCCAAAGAAATCACTTTGTGATTCTCTGTGCTTAATGGGCAAGAATTTCATTGCCCAATCCATGACCACTAATGCTTGATTAGGTTGCAAGTCTTCCAAGACATTTTTCTTAGCTTGGTCTTGATGTACTGTTCTTACACAGTGTGCTTTCCATGACAAAATGTTCAATTTTGATTGATTGATTTCAAAGTCAATCTCTTCCATTGTGTCTTTTGGAATGCATTCCTTGATTGTACATTCATCAAATTCTCTTGCCACTTCACACAGGGTTTTATCCACAATTTCACACTCTTCACATCCAGATGCATGTTCATGGTCACACTTTGAACGAAACGTTTCACATTTTGGATCACTAAGACTGAAAGTTGTACAGTGACTAACACAGGAGGAATGTGTTGACAGATGACCCTTGATGTCAAATTTCAAATGTTGATTTAGAGATGCTATCATGCTTTTCAATTCTTCAGCTCTTTCCTCTGATAATCCAAATGTTTCCAGTTTTGAAATGATTCCTTCCAACACCTCAACAGATTTCAAGCCATCAGCTGTGATGTTGTCAAGCCCATGAAGGTTCCTCTTCTGGGAAGCAACGCAAACTTTCAAAATGTTGTACAATGTAGATCGACTGAAAGTTTTGTACTCTTGATCTTTACAATAAGCTAAATAAGTGTTGATCAGCCTTGAAGATATGACATTTCGAACAACTTTGGGAATTTGTATTTCCACACCAGATGCAATTTCCTGGAGCCATATCCAACAACCTGATGATAAGCTGGACTGCTAATAAACTGAATGAAGTGTGTAATTTGCGGTACACTTAATCGTATTCTGTAAATTGTTGGCTTGTTGATGATTTGTCCTGGTGATTCCAATGCTGCATGCCTTCTTGCTGCATCAATTTTTGCAACTGTCATACCTGGGATTAGCCTCAAGAGTTTTTCTTTCGTAAACTTGTGAGCAAAGAGTGACAAAATCTGTACTTTGTTCAGTCGATTGTCTTGGTCCAAGTAAGCTTTAATCAAAGCTTTTGTCAGTATATCTTCATTCAGCAATTTATCTTCATTTGCTGTATGTTTTGATGCAAGTTCTGATATAACTTTATCAACCTGTCCTGGTACAATATGTTCAAGTAATACATGTATAGCATCATTCGCAATTGTTAAATACAAGGATTTTGTACTTCTTGATATGTTTTCCCATGGTAATTGCAGCTGGCTCTTTAAGGCAGGAAATTTTCCTTTACTGAGCAAACTCATGGCACGATTGAACTTTTCTCTGGTACTTTCATTCTCCAGTTCCCAATCAGAATGTGACTCCTGGGAAAAGTCAGAAAAATCAGAAGCCGTTGTTTTTGTTGTAGAACTTTCTTGAGAGAATTCTTTCGGCACATCTTCTGTAAAATAAAGCACAAAAGTAAGAATATCAGTTAAAGAACCAGACATACATTAAAAAAATCTTAACATTTCAGAATAGATTCTTTTCATATTTAATATATTCAGAAAGTAATGAAATCAGGCATGGAAACATTTTAAGATATGCACATTTAAGAAAAAGTACTGGGTCATCATCCTTGATTTTGCTTAAAAGACAACTGAAAATTCGATGGTAAAAATAGACTTTTTCCTCCTGTAGAATAATAAACAAGAGTCCCATGGGCCACATCGCTCACCTGGGCACATGGGCTAGTTAAAAACACAAATCAGCTCAGTATTGAAAAGATTACTTGCTGGGGGAGGGGGGATTTGAATTTTTTTATTACTTGAGAATGTCACTATATCAATAAAGCATATATGTATAATTTTGCTATGCTTTAGAAAAAGAGTTTTAAAGATTTTTCCTACATATTTCTATGTATAGATCTGATTTCCCATTATGGCCCCGCCTTGCCCCCAGGGGTCATGATATGAACAAACTTGAATTAACTCTAACATTTTTCCACATTAATATAACTGACCATAGCTTTGCTGATCTTGAGAAGAAGATTTTTATAAGATTCTTCCTACATATTCCTATGTTAAATGATGTTGTTACGTTAATCAGCCATTGTGGCCCCGCCCTATCCCTGGGGGATCATGATTTGAACAAACTTGAATCTACACTACCTGAGGATGCTTCCACTTGAGTTTTATTTTTCCTGGCTAATGGTTTTGGAGAAGAAAATTTTTAAAAGATGCCATTAATTTTTCATTAATTCATAATTATCTGCCCTTGAAAGAAGGCTCAGCCCTTCATTTGAACAAAATCAAATCTCCTTCACCCAAGGATACTTTATGGCAAGTTTAGTTGAAATTGGCCCAGTGGTTTTTGAGAAGAAGATGAAAATGTGAAAAGTTTAAAACAACAGCTACAACGACGGACAACGGACAAATTTTGATCATTTTGATAAAAACCAATATGGTAATCTAAAATTGATGTTTTAGAAAATGAAAGAAGATGAGATATTTCAACAAACAATTGAGTAGAATTAAAAGAGAGAGAGAATGTGCCCTGACATTCCTCAATCTTCTGTATCCCAGTATATGGGTATGTGTCAGGGGTCAAATATGCTGCTAAATGTTTCTACCTGTTTTTTCATAATTGCTGTCTTTTTCTGATTTAGTTGATTCTGCAAGTCTACACAGCCTCTCAAATGATTCTAATAAAAGAAACAAATACATACAATATTAGACTAATAGTCAAATTCAGCTACTAATACTATGACTGCAAGAGTATCATATCTAATAAACAAGGTGTGTTTGTGAAACAATGATGCCACCTGCATTGCAGATTATGGCATAAAAAGCATAAAACCTAATACCTGACAACAAAATTTTAGTGGACATCTTCACACAGAGAAAAAAGGGATGCAGCTCAAATTTTATGGCCATTCTCCTTAAAATGGTCTATTTTATATACTGTTTATACCCCCACTTGAAAAGCAGGGGAATATGTATATTGACGGGAATACCTGTCCATCTCCAAGCAAGACAAGGACTTAATAATCCTATGGGAAGCTGAGATGGGGTTGTTCATTTTGTGAGCTCGATGCCCACAGTACCTCTAGTTTAAATTTGAAAGCATTCCAGATAAAACTGTACAGTAAGATTTTTCATTTCATAATGATTGTGTTGATTGGACAAACATGAGATTGGATTTCTCTTAATTTTACTTTCTACACTTGTCCTTTACCATGTTTACATCAAGACAAATTTTAGATTTCTCTTACACACAGATATAAATAAAACTCACCAATTTCTTCCTGAAGGTTGATTTTGAATTCTCCGTGAGATTCTTTAAGTTTCAGGTAGCACTGCTTACAAATACCTGTATGAATAAAAGTCCTCAGTTTCAAACAATCCAGAAAAATTAGCTGACAATTTGTAATTGTACGACATAAACATGATAAAAGAAATATTTTTTAAGGTATGACAAAATATAAAAATATCTTAATCAGAAATTACATAAAAAAATATATTTTTATCATGAATCACCAGAACAGAAAGTAAATTTATACAAGTATCTCTTCTTTTATTTGATACTTAGTATATGTATACGGCTAATAAACTTGACAGGAAAATGACAAATCTCCTAAGTTTAATTTCAATAAATTATAAATAAAACCTTGCATTCATTTCACTTTAATTTCATATAAATATGTGTGAGTGAAGTGTATGCAACAGGGTTCAGATGGGGGGGGGGGGTGTTATTACGAGAATATTAAGAAATGTGTATAAATGACAGTTTTAGGGATTTTCATTTTTGGTGCTTATATATAATTAGCTCACCTGAGCCGAAAGCTCAAGTGAGCTTTTCTAATGAGGACTTTAACTTTTGTGAAAGCTTCCTAGGGTAGTGTAGATTCTAATTTGTGCAAATCATGACCCATGGGGGAAGGGTGAGGCCATAATAGGTAATTCAAGTTTTACATTAAAATGTATGGGAAAAAATCTTCTTCTTGGGAACTATTCGGCCAGAAAAGCTGAAACAAATATGAAAGCATCATGGGATAGTGCAGATTTCATATTGTCCAAATTATGACCCGTGGGGTAGGGCTGTAAAAATTAATCTTCAATTTACGCCAGCGATTTTCTTGTCGCTACTTCGATCAGTCTTTTTGTATTATTTCTTGTAGTTTAACTTTTTCTGGTTTTTAGAATGGTATTAGATAATTAATAAAATATTTACCTTTTATCGGTTTGAAACAGTAAATAAATCACATAAATGTGAGAGGACTACATGTGTATGCATTCTTTGTACATTGCATGCATATGTGGTTGGTTAGTTTCCCTTATACCTAGCAGAAACATGCCACATATGCCTACTAATCTATTACCATTTATTACTTAATTTGAACATAGAATTTTTTTTTACAATAACAATCACGTTTTCTAATATTGATCCATAAATGGACTTTTAATTTCTTACCAGCGCCAACTGTTATAATTTCCCTTGTGTGCAGCCAGTGCTGCTTGCAAGTGGTTGGCTGTGTACCCCTACTAGGCCTTTCTTTGCTGTCTTTGGAATGACCTGAAAATTGGCAAGTATGTCTTTTGTCCTTCCAATAGATTCCTAGTTCATCCCGATGCTTTTGACATATTGCAAGATTTAAACAAGAGTCATCGATAGTAAAAATACCACTTCTGTATAAAATGAGAAGTCCTTCTGGAATGTCACTTCTGTACCCAACATGTTCTGAGCAATTTGTTCGCCGAAGGTGTATTGTGGCGTCTTTTACACATTCAGTTATATTAAAATATCCCTTTTCACTCTCATAGTGAAGTGACTCACCACATTTTGAAGAAATACTTGAAAAGTCACAAATCCTGTTCTTATCTTCTGATTCTTCATCTTCCATGTTGTTACATCTGTCATTTTCACCCAGAAACACAGAAGAGCTCTAACAAGGGGAGATAACCATTTAACTCCAGAGAAAATTAGAAAAGGGGGGCAAAAATTAGCAAACGAATGTAAATAAAGTATATGAATCAGTTATTCCTGTTTTTAAGAATATATAAGATTTGAAATCTTCCTTTTTTAGTTAAAGATTGTAAAAAATAATCTATAAATATGACGATGGAATGTTATTTGAAATATGTGAAAATGTAGCAGAGTATGGTATTTCATAGTTAATTTACAACATGTAAATATTATTTCCCAAGCTCAATATTTTAACACAAAGTAGACTTTAGATCATTCTTTCAGTAACAATTAATTTACTTTAATTTTAAGATTGGTCTTGAGAGATACGAGCATCTAAAAATGGCTAAAAAATCGTACTCGTTGATTTAGGATCTATAAATAGATGTGTAAAAAATAAAATATTCATTTGAATTAAGTTTTTCTTCATTAACTGTGTAATTTGGACCATGACTTTGAAAATAAAACAAAATTTGAAAATAAACTGATGACAGAAGGTTACTTTTTGACTTGATCAATTTGTATTGATTTTCCATTAAATTTTGAGTGATTTCCGACAAATATGCAAATGAGCTGTTACTAAAAATAGATGCAGGGTCAACATTTTTTTGTGGATATTCTGACTTCTACCTTTAAGTAGAAAATTTTAAGCCACTAAAAACTCCCAAGTTGCAACCTTCCATTTGGACGATTTTTTGAATTTTGCATGGTTTTCTCGCGGACTGGCTCTTAACAACAGATTCAAAAAAACGTTTGATCGCGAAAATTAATCGTCGCGAACGATTGTACCCCGGTAAATCGCGAAATAAAGTCGTCGCGAATAAAAGTTAGTTTACAGTATTTCAGACTAATACGGAGGTTGGAATATGAGATTCCTTTTAAACTGCTTTTGTGTTATGTTGTACAAAATTATAATGGTATGGTTTGACAAAATATAAATTTCTACTACTTGGGGATGTTTGTAAGAAGAATATGGAAGGAAAAAACTAACTTTCTCATCTTCTTATCTCCTTGCTTCTCTTGAGGACATATTTATCGATTTTTCATCTATATCGCCACAAGAATCTCTGATGCCCATACTGTTGTACCATATATGTTTCAGTCAAACTTGAATTTGTACTACCTGATAGTGTATCACTAAATATGAACTTTTTTGTTCTTTTAGTGATTTTCTTAACCGTGAAAAACTTTCATTTTTTTTTTAATTTCATCTCTTGAAATGAAGCATTGCCTTCCATTTGAACAAAACTAAATTCTCTTCACCAAAGAATTTATTTTGGCAGGTTTGGTTAAGTTCCGTGTAGAAGTGGAAAAAAAATGAGTAGTAATATTGTAAATGTAATGCCTAGGTCACATTAAAGCCGATGGTAGGGCGACCAAATTTTTTTGGTATGGTCTGCTGACACGAGTATCGGGCGACACGGAGGAGTCACATGAATTCCTAGGAACACCGATGACTTGGATAAATAACTCCGAAAATCTTTTTTCTTTAGAAATCAGCAATATTTTTCATAGATCTATATTCAAAAAGGTGACACGAGTTATGGTTGCAAGGCAAAGTGACAGAATTTTGTTAAATTGTGACACATTGTTATAAAAATATGTGCAAATTTTGTGTAGATTTGCATTGAAAACGACAAAAGGTGCATATCTAAGCAGCAAATAAAACTTCAGACTTCTTTATGCTTTACGGATTTATTATTCATGCCATATCCATTTTAAAATTTATATCAATCAATGCATCAATTTTTTTTGTATTATGTATCCTTAAAACCTTAGTCACATTTCCAAAAACGACCAACGGCCGACGGTTTTTGAAGCAAAAATTGGATTCTTAGGGTGACAGTCGGCAGTTAGTCTGCAGTTATCTTGCCCGATTTTGACCTCATTTTTTGTGGGCCAACCAATTTTGTGTCCATCGGCCAAAGTTATAATTTTTTAGGCGTCGGTGACCAAAGCAATCCGTCGACCAACCTTAAATCATCGTCCGACCATCGGCGGTCAGTTTATAAAGTCGGTCGTCCGTCGTTCGACAATAAGGGTTTCCAAAATTTCGGCCGACAGTTAAATTCCAACTGAAGCTCAGAGCTCGAGGATCGGGCGACGATTGGCCGACTTATGAATACTTTACCTATTAAGGATACATAACACAAACACAATTTTGATGCATGGATTTATATATATTTTTTGAATGGAAATGACATAAATAATAAATTAGTGAAATGCACCTTTTGTCGTTTTCTTGCAAATCTTTACAAAAAATTTCACACATTTTTAACATTGTGTCACAATTTTACAAAATTCTGCCACTTTGCCTTGCAAACATTACACATGTCACCTACTTGAATATAGATCTATGAAAAATATTGTTGATTTTTAAAGAAAAAAGACTTTTTGTGTTATTTATCCACGTTATCGGTGTTCCTAGGAATTAATGTGACTGCCTTGTGTCGCCCGATACTTGTGTTCTTTCAGCCGACCATAATAGAAATATTTGGTTGCCCGACCATCGGCTTAAATGTGACCTGGGTATAATAGGTTAAGTCGGCAAATCGTCGCCCGATCCTCGAGCTCTGAGCTACAGTTGGATTTTAACCGTCGGCCGAAATTTTGGAAACCCTTATTGTCGAACGACGTACGGACAACTGACTTTAAAAACTGACAGCCGATGGTCGGACGATGATTTAAGGTTGATCGACGGATTGCTTCAACTGAAGTAGTTGGCCACCGACGCAGGAAAAATTTATAAATTGGACTAATGGACAAAAAATTAGTATGCCGACAAAAAAAGAGGTCAAAGTCGGGCAAGACAACGGCAGATGAACTGCCCACTGTCATCCGAAGAATCCTATTTTCGCTTCAAAAACCATAGGTCGTTTTTGGAAATGTGACCGGGGTTTTAAAGGTCAAGATTTACAAATTATATTAATAATGTGCAACCAAAAAGATGCTAAAGAAGTAACATAAGTAGATGATTAAAGGTTGAAGTGAGTGAAAAATACTTTCAAGTTTAAGGATGCATACATGAGCCAAATCTTTAAGTTGTTTGCTTAAAGCAGATGCATGTATGTGTGAATTAAATAAAGGAGTGTTCATAGCTTAGTTTTTTGTTTGTTTGTTTTTTTTTTTAACATTTTTTTTGACATGGTAATGATAACTGGACCTCCAAGAATATGACTTCTCACATGAACAAAAAAGTTTACGTCCTTCATGAACAGCTATCAAGTGCTCACGTAGAGCATTCCTGCAGGATAGGTGTTCGCCACAGATGTTACATAGGAAATTAACTGCCTGACCCTGTTTGGGGTGTTGGGTCTTTTTGTGTTCTTTCAATGCTTGTTGAAAAGTTTTTCCACATTCGTCGCATTTTTCAACACGTATCTTACTGTGTTTTGTTACATGACCATGGTAATCCCAAAGCCGATTAAAACCGGCTTTACATACGGAACAACGAAATCGGAATTGTTGAATATGCATTACTGTTATTGTACCTCCTAGGAAAACGGTCATAAAAGTAACAATCTGACAAGGTATTTCAAACTTAATGAAAAAAAATTCCTATGGTTGTTTGTTAAATCTGACCAGCTATGGTCAGCCAACAAATTCATGGACATTTAAATCATAAATGTTTCGTACAAATGATTCCTGCAAATCATACGCCAAATACGCCCATCTTCTTTAGATGCCAAACTTAAGTTTATATGAAAGAATGAAACTCTGTGACTGTGAGATTAAATGTATGTATGGACTTTGGTACTCAAGTGACCGTCAAGACTTGTGAATCTCTTGTTTGTTGACTTACATGTAAAAATAACGCGCGTTTATTTTTGTAACGAACAATACAATTCGAACAATCTCGACTTAAACGACGCATACAGTGATTATAATGACAGGGGTATCTTATACTGTAATATTTCAATCCTTGACATCTGAATTTAGAAATTAAAACACTCATGACATTGTTCTATATTTCAATATTCATTATGTACCATTTCGGGAAATAATTATGAAACAGAAATGTCAGACTCTGTGGTATATCTTTAATTTCAAGCTGAACAGGATGTATCGTGTTGACATAAGAATGGAAATAACTATTGTTAATTGAGAATACGTCGTCGATATATCTAAATGTCGAGTTGAAGGCCATAGCAAGTCTTTTCTTTTTTCAAGTTAAATATTTTGAACACATTCTACCTCATATGAATACAAAAATACGTCTTTTATTAACAAGTCGCTATTGGCACCCATGGGAATTCCTATAGATTGTTGGAAGAACTAGTTTCCCAAAACCACATAAATATTCTCAATCAGAAACTCGAGCATCTTTTAATTTTCTTACAAAGATATTAACAGTAGTGAAAGAGAAACTCCGAGAGTACTGTTAAACAATAAATTCGAGAAGTGGTGTAAATCAGACTAGGAAACTAAATAAATCCATGTAACGTTTGGAACATTTGAAATCACAAAATTTTACCCAAATCAAAAACATGAAAACTTACGACTTTTCAACTTTATATACAACCATTCCTGAGATAAATTAGAGATTAAGTTTTCTGATATCAATGACAGCCGTTTTTTTTTATTCGATAGCGTAAATTTACTTACAATGTCATTGGTAATTTACAGAACTATTTTGTTAAAAATCATTTTGATTTTACACACAAGTAGTCTGAAATTGATATTAAAAAGATGCTTGAGTTTTTGATTGACGGTATCAATGTGGATCTGAAGACCATGACCAGGTCTTCCAAAATTTATTGAAATTCCAATGAGAACAAATTACGGCCCGTTATTAATAGACCTATTTTTGCATTCAAACGAAGCAAAATTTGTTCAAAATCTTATAGGTGAAAAGACCTAGAAGAAAAGACTTGCTGTGACATAAGACATTAGATATATCGAAGACTTCGTCAATTAACAATTAATATTTCCATTCTTATGACGATACGATATATCTTGGTGAGATTAAAGTTAAAGGTGCCGCCGAATCTGACACATCTACATGTATTT